GCTATATTTTATCATAAAAGATGTACCATCATCTGAAATTTATTCTGAATCCCAATTCTGGATATTACGTTTTTAAATGTTCAATTTGCATGCTTTTATGAAATCAATACAATCATGCAACATTTTGTATTCATTTTTTTCATAAAGGAGGAGTTCTATCTTCTCAAAATCAAAGATCACCTATTCTTATGTAAATTTAGCTAAATACTTGTTTAATGTAACAAACATTTTTATTTTTATGATAATTGAATTAGAAGTCTATCAATTTCTGTTTAGAGCTTTCTTTCAATATCTTCCTTCTCATACTAAATTTTTAGGAACAATATCGCATACTTGCATTCTAAAAGCAAAATCAATAATTTCAGATATGTCTACTCGAATGCTTGATGAATGTAATCCCATCTTGTCGAGTTCGACATAAATTTTCTCCAGCTGGGTAATTGACATTCTTAATTACATTGACTTGTCCTGGTAAATTGCATGTGGTGAAGTGATAATATCCTTGTCCTTACCAAATAGCCAAAGTTCTATCTCCCATAGCAATATTATCATAATTAGGTCTGTTGGCTAATCTTGAAATGAAATACCAAGGTGCATTCTTTCCATTCGGCAATTTGACTGGATAAGCAGTTAAGAATCTCATCCAAAATCCGTAACCATATTCAGCAAGAGGTTATTCTGATTTGAATTCCTTAGTAACTTTGGGTGTATTATCAGATACTGCATTTGGAATTTAAGTTTCTCCAGTTTCCTTATCAACTTCTGGTTGTACTTTCTTTTAATCTGGCTTTTTGAGGATGTTGATTTCACCCTTTTGTAATCCAAAGATGTCATCTGGATGTTTGAAATCTGGAGTCTTTCTGAATGTTCCATCTCCTAAGTTAAAGTTCACATATGCCAATTTGCCATTCAATCCTGGGAAGTGCAAGTCTTTGCCAGCGAATGTGTAGAATTTAGGTGCATAATAATGATTGACATTGTTATACTCTAAGGTTTCAAGTCCTGATGCAAATCTAACTCCGACAAATGCCTTTTATTAATTTTTTGAATATCCAAAGTAAACAAAGAACCAATCGAAAATTCTATTCTTGTGTTGGATATTGCTGACCATATTTGGATTACCTGCTCCATTCATATTTGTGTATGTGTATGTTGGGAAATGTAAGATACCTCCTTAAGCAGTACCAATCCAACAAGATAATGTTCTATCTCCCAAGAATCTGTCAGTGGATGGCTTCTTTATTTGAACTCTGAAAACATTGTGCCAAACCTATTATTAAGTTTGTTCCCATTTGAACCATCCTGAAATGGCATATTCATGTGGGAACATTTCTTGTCCACCACCAATTTCATCATAGTCTGGAATGTCATTTGGTTTTCTAGAAATGATATCAGAAACTAATTCATGATTGTAGAATTAATCCAAATCTTACTTTGGTATTATTGTTCTTTTTAATTAATCTGAAAAGTCTTCAATTGTATCCAAAAATACTCCTGGTCTAGCTGAAAATGTGACTTAACTAAATAAACCATTGAATCCAGGATATTATTTATTATCCATACCACCCAAAATGAATTTGACTTTCTTGGCAGCGGGATGTTGAACTGAGTGTAAGATTGTTCTTGGTTCTTGATCTGCATATTTGATGAAGGCACATAGCTTTTTTAGCTTCTGAACTGTATGAATAGTAAACGTATGTCCACAATCCTTCAATGTCATTTGGATAATTGATATTTTGAATTACATTGGCTTGGTTCTTTGGTTAATCACAAGTAGTGAAATGGTAATATCCTTAACCTTACCAAATGGCTAGTAATCTGTCACCCATATCAATATTTTTGTAATTCATATTTGAAGTTAATCTAGAAACAAAGTACCATGGAGCATTCTTTCCATTCAATAATCTATCAGGGTAAGCAGTTAAGAATCTCATCCAAAATCCATAACCATATTCGACTAATTCGTTTTCATCTTCTTAATTTTCTTCAATGACTGGTTTATTTTCTTCGCTTGAACTTGGTCTAGTCAAACCATCAGTCTCTACATCATCAACTGCTTTATATGGTTTCTTTTATTTTTCAGGATCTTCTTCAGTGTCTATTTCTGGTTGAACTCCAATCAATTTCTTTTTACCAGTCACAAAACTAAAGGGATCACCTTTTCCTGTAAAGTCATTGCTAGGTTTGAATGATCCTTCTCCAACGTTGAAAGCAACTAATGCAACTTTACCATTGAATCCTGGGAATTATTTGTCTTTTCCTACATAAATGTAGAACTTAGGAACTTGGAAGTGTCTGATGTTTTCATATTCTTATTTTTCAGTTGATTGTTTCCATTGAATTGTAGCAACAGCCTTCTTCTAAGGTCTTGAATATCCAAAATAAACAAAGAACCATTCAGTGTGTCTATTTTAGTGTGGGATATTCCTAATCACATTTG